TGTTTTTTACGGAAACAAGATTTAATAATAGATAAATATAATAAAAAAATTAAATACGTAGCAACATACAATATTCTATGCACATACGGATACTATGTTATTATTAACACAGAGAAAGATATCCATAAAGATCTCTCGCAGCTTTCATCGTATTATATATATATACATGAGTATGAATTATTGGCTATCGTATTATTTGGGCATTAATTAACAGCTTTCATCGTGTTATATATATACATGAGTATGAATTATTGGCTATCGTATTATTTGGGCATTAATTAACAGCTTTCATCGTGTTATATATATACATGAGTATGAATTATTGGCTATCGTATTATTTGGGCATTAATTAACAGCTATCATCGTATTACCTGGGTATTACTTAGCGACTATCGGACTACATGGGTATCACATAGTGTCTATCATATTATATGAGTATCACTTAGCAGCAAAAGTAGTCAAGCTGCATTTTAATTACCCAATAAAGACTTTTCAAAGTTTTTATCTGTACCAAAACTTAAACAGTTACTCAGATAAATAAAAAAAAGCAATCTAGTTTATAAATGTACACAAATAAAATACTTGTTTTTGTCTTAAGATACTAATAATTTCAGAATTGAGAGTATTGATTGAATCACTAAACAATCTTATGGTATCTGATTGATATTGTCCTAGTTATTAAGCCAGTATAACGTTTGAACAAAAAATAACTCCATTTATATAAATATATAGCCACAATCTTTTGCTTAATACGTATAAGTTTATATTTTTCTCTAATCTAAAATTACTGTAGAACGATCAGTTAGTTACAAAAGAGTTTAAACTTTTAATTCTAAATTCAATCCTTTCTTTTCACTCCTTCGCGCCACCAATATATTGACTTATATATGATTACAATTAACCATACTCCAAAAACTGTAGTTATAAAATGATAGATAGTCAATTCCAATACGTTAACGATGAGAAATAAGCGGCAACTTTCCGTGACGTAGGTGCTCGCGTGTGATAGATTCCGAAGAGGCAGGTGATGTTACATGTACAAACCGGTTACATAAATAATATTTAAGCGAATGTGTAAACGTAATTCATCAGAGAACACTAAACTAATAAAAGTTGTAAAGAAACAACCTCTTTTTTTTAGCTGACTATATTCGACGTTAAATGTTATAAGCCCTTCATGTACACGAAGAATAGACATTACTAGGAACATCAAGAGCACGCGCTCAATTATTTCACAGCACTGTCTATATACAACACCCCCGCAACGTAACCGCACAAGATGTAATTTGAATGTAAGTTGTCAACTTCTGTTCTTCAAATAATGGCTTCCGTATCTTAGGAAAACTTTTATCATTTCATTTCGTGCAACGAAACCGTAGATTAGTGTTGCCCCTATTATTCGTCTTTCTATTGTTACAATTATGCTTAAAAATAGTTTTTTACGAGCCTACAACACAATCAAATTCTATGACAGAACACAACGAGAAAAAGATTAAGAAAATATTTACGACAATTTGTTAGCAACAGTTCAGGATCACACACTCAATTATATTGCAAGTAATTCCTTAACTCTCTTAAAGAGGAAAAAGAAGGTTACATATACTTTCATCCTGTAGGTGGAGCTTTGATAAAAGCGCCCCAGATTAAATAAGCCTAACATATGATGGTTCACTAAGATTAGCATTTCTATTTAAAAACACTATGTTATAATGTCTAAATATTGTTCATTGATTTCTTTGAATAGCTATATTTGACGTATGTTGGGTTTTTAGTCAATTTATTTCATTGCAAACCCTTCACATTTAAATCACTAGTTCTTGAAAATGGAGATTAATCGACTGCTAACTGTAATGCTCATAGTAATGCTGGCCAGTTTCCAGCTTTTTCATTTCTACAGGAGAACATATTGGTTCAGGTTTGCAACCAGAGAGCTCAGAAAACAAAGACTCTTCCACGGATGCTTCAGTGGTTTCATTTTCTTATAGTTTAGTGCAAAGAAGCCTTTTTACTTGATCCGAAAAAGTAAAACAGTATCACCCCATCTGTTTAATGGGAAAATTTACCTCCTATCTATCAAAATAAAGAGAACTTTGTCCCTTCATATTTCCATGAAATGTATCCCTCATCTTTCAGCATAATATGAATGTTTTTCTACTGATTTCGTACCTTACTAAGGACTTCATTCTCTTACCTTTAACTTATCTATTACCTAATAGAAGTTTTACCTTCATATCTCTAACTTAATATAATGCTTGCTTTATCGTATATCAGCTTGGTAGGAAGCTCTCCTCTTATCTGTTTACCTTGAGAGGAACTTTGCTCTCTGATTTTTTAGCTTAATAGAAGATTTGTCTTCTTTTCCTCAGCTTAATAAGAACTATGCCCCTTTATCCATTAGCTTAATAAAAATCGTTTTTGTCTTTCAGCTCAATGAAAAATTTGACCTATAATGACCTATTATTAAATTTTGTGTGCCATGCAGCCATAAATTATGCTGTTGTATCTACAACTTTCGAAGCCGATTTTGTTATATAATGAAGACAAGAAATGTGTGTTTTGTTGTATGTTTAAGTCAGAATTATCATACGTGTTATCAATGAAGGTTTAGCTAAGGAGTTCGATGAAATCTTTTAGAACAAGAGATCGATAATTATGGGTATTCCGAACTAGATTTGTCTTCATGTTTGAATATATTTTCCTTTGAGTTGAACTTGTACAGAATTACACTGGAGTATTTATTTATCCAAGTTTTATATGTGGTGTCATTTTGACATCTTTAAGAGAATTCAGCTTTAAGCAAGAATTATTCATATAAAGTTCGTAATTAATCTGTTTAATGCAACATAGTAATGTTTTCCTGACTCAAGAATAATATCATAGTCGCTCCTATAGAAAACCGAGAGAGATTGGTTATAATTCTTATAAGTTACTGATACAAAAGGAAAGCTTTGCATATTGATGTACATGTACCCGATTTATGTGCACACAAGAGTCCTGATAAAACTCTAAAGTGCTATTTTACAATCAGCACATAGGTGTATATATCTTTTAATAAAGTTGTTTAAATGTTTATATATCTATATTATTTTATTGCACAAATATGTAGAACAATCACACAACTCACCAACGTATAATAAAAACAAGTTTGTTTCGGAAGACAGAATAATTCAAGTTGTAAAAGGAGTACCTTAAACGTTATTATACAATAGTTAATGAACGAACTTGGTAAAGTTACGAACTATTGCCTATAAATGCACTTTATATATCAAATAGGAAGATATATCAATGTTAACACTTTGGAAAATTGTAGCACTGTAATTTATACAGCTGAATATTGATTTTTAAAAGTAATTAGTACTTGATGTGCACGTACCTATCATGAGTATTTATTTTGTGTTGATAAGGTATATTGTTTAAAATCAATTAAGAAAAACATCGACTGACTGGTGTTTCCAAAACATTCCGATGAGTAACAGGATACATGTTAAGTAACATAAAATCAATGATTTTTTGTTATTTTTTCTGTGTTTTAAAGACGATAATAAATGTATATTGTACGTGTTAGCGAGTAGAAAGTTATATGTTTATTATCGAAAAGATAATTGAAGATGATTTTTGTTCTGTGAATAAGAAGTAGGGATCATCCCAAAGGTTTATTTACTGAGTTATGTGGAGAGATAAAATTCTCGCCTCAAAAATTTATTTAGCTTCAGAAGATGGCCTGGCATGGCCAGGTGGTTAAAGCGCTCTACTCGCAATCCCGTCACACCAAACATGCGCGCCCTTTCAGCCGTGGGGGCGTTATAATGTGACGGCCAATCCCACTATTCGTTG